CCAGAAACCATGCTACAGCAGTGAGCTATTATGAGATAAATTATTAGAAAATAACTTTAATAACTAAAAACTAACATTATTAGATGTTAGTGCTCAGATTAAGTGTTGAGGAAGACTTTCAGTTACCAGTGGTGGAGAAAGTACTCAAAGTACAGATAAACAGATAAAAATGTACTCTAGTAAAAGTAAAAGTACCATATTAACATTTTTACTGGAGTAAAAGTAACTAAGTACTTGTTTTAAAAATACTTAAAGTATTAAAAGTAAAAGTACTTAATGTATTCCCTAATGGAATACAATATCTTGATGCTATGTATATATTTAGTACATCACTTGTGTCACTTTGGTGAACAATGCTTCAGATGATGCATCTTTGTGTGTTTCCCTGTGACACTGTTCACACTGTGATTCTGTGCATCATCACTGGTTGTGACAACAGCTACAGACGCTTTATCAAATCTCAACAAGTCGTCCCTCGCAATACTTTTGCATTCCCTCGCAATACTTTTGCATTCCCTCGCAGTACTTTTGCATTCCCTCGCAATACTTTTGCATTCCCTCGCAATACTTTTGCGTTCCCTCGCAATACTTTTGCGTTCCCTCGCAATACTTTTGCATTCCCTCGCAATACTTTTGCGTTCCCTCGCAATACTTTTGCATTCCCTCGCAGTACTTTTACGTTACCTCGCAATATTGTTTTGCGTTCCCACGCAAAAGTTTGATTTGTTTATGAACTGAATTAAATCAGACTTTTATTTTGAAATATCCGGTTACCAAAACAGGATGTGTCGCCACAAGTTCGTGAAATTGACATTGATGTTGCGTGGCTGCACTGTGTTAAAATATCGGCATATGACACACTTCCATGCGTGGTTGTGTGATATATTCATTCTGAAGCTGAATTTAAGCAGTAAGCTAACTCGCTAATGGTGAACATGTGAGTTTGTTAATAAACCGGTAAGCACAACAGTGTTTAACGACTTTTGCGAGGGAACGCAAAAGGTATTGCAAGGTAACACAATACTTAGGTGGGAACGCAAAAAAATAAAAAAAAAAACATGTCTCCTCGCGGGCTCAGCAGCTTTCAAACTCAAACAAACAAACAAACAAAAAATGTAATGTGACATAAATGTAGTTTGTAATTCAACACATTACAGAAATGTAGTGTAGAAGTACAGATACTTCATGTAAAATGTAGTGGAGTAAAAGTCAAAAGAACCCATGATGAAATCTACTGACTAAAGTACATAAAAATGTACTTAAGTACAGCGACAAAGTACTTGTACTTTGTTACACCCCACCACTGGCTACTACCACACTAAATTTTAGCTGATTATCTGTTAAACTGACAGAATTAGTGTGTCAGCTAATGTCAGTTAGCATCATTAGCTGTCCCGTGCAGCTAGGGGTGCAACAATACATGTACCCATATCTAACAGTGCTTTAGGTTGAATACACACTTGTATSGAACAATACAGATTTTWAAAATTTAYTTTATCAACTTGTCTTCTGAAGATGCGCTGTGTTGAAGGATCAGTGGATCTGTGTTCGACTACTCCACCTAGGCTGCATTTTTGAGCTCAGATCCACTGAGAAACTTGCTGTTTCAGCAACATTTAATTTAAAAACTGTACTTTTGAGGTTAAACAAATGTTCATAATTAATATAAATAAATTACAAGTTAAAAGGGGCATGGACATTTCTCTTTTTTGTATTGAAAAAATATCGAACCGTGAGACTAAAGTATCGAACCGAACCAAAACGTGAATTTTCTGTATCGTTGCAGCCCTATGTGCAGCAGCTCCAAAGGTTAACGAGTTGCAGATGCAAATCAAAGAAATGAGATATTTTGCTAACAGTTTCTGCAGTTCATGCAGTAATAAAAGCGTGGTTAATGACGCGTATCGAGGTGAAGCAGAACGAGGCAGAGCAGAACTAAGATGGTTCTGGGTCGGTGAGCTGTTTGTTCTCTGGTTCCTGAACACCAGAGTTTAACATTTTATCCTGTTTCAGTGATTTACAGTTGATCTCATATAAAATCTCTGCAGGAAAACAGGAGTTTTAGATAAAAAACGCTTTGATGAATGTGATACCAGAGCGTAAGCTGAGCCGAGCAGTAAAAGTGAATAAAAACATGAGGTTTCATGTTGAACATGACCTGAAACATGATCAAAAGGTAACGTTCAACACATCAGAATCTGTAAACGCAGCGTGCATGATGGTCTTTTATTCCAGCCTGATCCCTTCATTCAGTCACCGCTCACACCCTGGAAAACCTCCACCTCCTCTTCTGGCACAAGCAAGCCTGCAGCCGCTGCCTTCCCACAATCTGAGAGCAGCAGCAGCAAAAAGAGATTTATTAACAACGCAAACACGTGACTGTCAGGAAACGAGGACCTCAGAGTTTTGATTTACTCTGAAACGAGTCGACAGAAACCAAGAGGATCATTAAAACACCAGTCTGAAGGTCTCAGCTGTGATGAGGACAAAGAAGAAACTCTTTAAACACCTTGTTTCCTCTGGTTGAAGTGATGAAACAATCAAACCCAGCAGATACAGATCTGTGTCGTCGTGCACCGGTGAACCTCAGGCCTGATGTTAGAAACACTCCTTTTATTGCTTCATCTTACAGTTTGGTTAGAAACAAGTAAAGCACGAGCTGCAGGACGGTTGCACAAACCCCTGTCAACGTCAACTTCCTGTCTGCTGTTTCTGCTGGAAGTGGACCACTGCTAACCCTGCTAGGTGCTAATGCCGGAGGCCAGCGTGCAAAATCTCCTACTCACTTCTTCTAACTGTAGACGTGATTTCACAACATATTATTTTCTTTTTTTGCACATTTAAATTGTGTCATTTTGAGGGATGTGTTGCATTACATTTGCATTAATTACTTTTTTTCATGTTTCAGAAGAATACACACAGGGCCCGTCCATCCGTCCGTTTTCTGTCGCTTATCCGGGGTCAGGTCTTGAGGGCACCAGCCTAAGCAGAGAGACCCAGACTTCTCTCTCTCCAGACACTTGGACCAGCTCCTCTGGGGGAACCCTAAGGCGTTCCCAGGCCAGCTGAGAAACATAGTCCAGTGTGTCTTCGGTCTTCTTCTGGGTCTCCTCCCAGTGGGACGTGTCCAGAACACCTCACCAGGGAGGAGTCCAGGAGGCATCCTAACCAGATGAACCACCTCAACTGGCTCCTGTCGACGTGGAGGAGCATTGGCTCTACTCTGAATCCCTCCTGGATGACTGATCTTCTCAGCCTATCTCTAAGGGAGAGCCCAGACACCCTGCAGAGGAAACTCATTTTGACCAGTTGTGTCCGCGATCTCGTTCTTTCAGTCACTACTCAAAGTTCGTGACCATAGATGAGGGTAGGAATGTAGACCGACTGGTAAACTGAGAGCTTTGCCTTCTGGCTCAGCTCTCGCTTCACCACGACAGACCGCTACAACGCCCACATCACTGCAGATGCAGCACCAATCTGCCTGTCGATCTCCCGCTCCATTCTTCCCTCGTTCAGGAACAAGACCCCGAGATACTTAAACTCCTCCACTTGGGGCAGGACCTCCTCCCTGACTTGGAGGCGACACGCTACCGGTTTCCGGCTCAAGACCATGTCTGGGATTTGGAGGTACTGATCCTCATCCCAGCCGCTTCACACTAAGCTGTGAACSGCTCCAGTGAGAGCTGGAGATCAGGATCTGATGAAGCCAAAAGGACCACATCATCCACAAAAAGCAGAGATGTGATCCTAAGACCACCAAAACGGATCCCCTCAACACCTCGGCTGCTCCTAGRAATTCTGTCCATGAAAGTTATGAACAGAATCTGTGACAAAGGGCAGCCTTGGCGGAGTCCAACCCTCACCGGAAACGAGTCCGACTTACAACCGGCAATGCGTACCAAGGTCTGGTACTGGTCATACAGGGACCTAACAGCCCGTATCAAT